TCTGCACCAGTTCTATTGGAATGAAGGGTTCTGGATTGAAAGACAAAACAAAACTTCCACATCCAGGAGATGTCTCTTAAAAATCAACATAATTCAACTGAACATGTCAATAAGTTGGGTCAGTTAATACAACCTACTCCCATAACAGCTAAATTACTTAACAAGTAGTAGTGTTTTTCCTTTTTCTTAATTTCAAAAAACAGTACATTAGATAAGATCTGGGGGGGAAAACAACCCATAATTCCCCATAATCCCCCTATCCCAACACAAACAGTTTTATTTCAGAATTACTACTTTGCAGTTTGTCCATGTGCACATATATTTTCACATAGCTACAACCAGTTTAAAAGTTTTTGTTTTTATATTTAAATGCTGGTCAACATAGCCCATGTTTTTAGTCATCTTAATTATACTTTTTTAAAGGCTGCATAATTATTCCCACTGATGTGTTATATTATTTAGTCATTCAAATTGGATCTTGGGTGAGACACTGAAGTTAGACATTTGGGTTACTCCATGGTTCCCTACTATACATACTGTTATACCTGTCTAGATCTTTTAAAACTTATTCTTCTCTCAAATTATTTCCTAAGGGTAAATTATCCAATATCAGTATTAGTGGGTATAAATATTTTTCTGGCTCTTGAAACATTACCATAGTGCTTTTCCTAAAGGCAAAACCTAAAGTATAAGGCTGCTAACAGTATATATAATGGCATCCACTTCTTAGCAACCCCACTAGCTGTGGGCGCTCATGTTAGGTAACATTTTGAATTGAATTAAAAATTTACCCCCGGGGGTACCTGGGTGGCTCAGTCAGTTAAGCGTCTGCCTTCGGCTCAGGTCATGATCTCAGGGTCCTGGAATCGAGCCCCGCATCGGGCTCCCTGCTCTGCGGAAGCCTGCTTCTCCCTCTCCCTCTCCCCCTGCTTGGGTTCCCTCTCCCGCTGTGTCTCTGTCAAATAAATAAATAAAATCTTTAAAAAAAAATTTACCCCAGGAAAACTCAATGACAGATTTTAGAGAATCTTAGACTATCTTTCACTTACTATCTTACATGTTGCTTCAGTAGTTTTTCATTCCCATGGTGTATAAAAGCTAAGTCATTGAAGTTTACTAATGTCTGTGTCATTAAATTGTGTTTCTTTTCTTTTTTTTTTTTTTTTGAAGATTTTATTTATTTATTTGACAGAGAGAGAGAGAGAGATCACAAGTAGGCAGACAGGCAGGCAAAGGGAGAGGGACAAGCAGACTCCTTGCTGAGCACGGAGCCCCATGAGGGCCTGGATCCCAGGACACTGGGATCACGACCTGAGCTGAAGGCAGCCGCTTAACTGACTGAGCCACCCAGGCGCCCCAAATTGTGTTTCTTCTTTAAATCCCTCAATTCTGCTCAAACATTCTTAAATTGTTATATGGAAACGGTTATATAATTCCACTAACAGAGAGCAGCTTAGCTTATAACTAAAAATCACAGAGGGTTGATAAGGCAACCAAATTGTGTGATGGCAAGAAAATACCTAACTGGTGGACTCACAAGACCATTCCTCACCCTCACCCCCAATCTCTTTGTTATCTTGACTGGCTCCTTTGTGTTCATGAACACTGCAAAGGTCTCCTTGGTCCCACATAAAAACAAACCAATCCTCATTCAATCCTGTGGCCTCTTCAAGGTACCTTCGGGCCCCATTAATTGCTAAAAGTGTTAAAGAGTTTAACTTTTTCCTCAATGCCTTGCTCTGTGCCACTGAAGAACTATTTTGAAGGTCATTAATGTGTCCTTTAGCTGTCCTATAGTTTTTCCTTGGGCTTATAAACAGACCTCTCAACAACATTCATGACCATGCCACCCACTTTTCTGACCACTACCATTCCCGAAGTCTGTCCTCAGCAATACTCTTCAAAAACTTTTGCCTTTCAGTGTGTCAACTATTCATACAACTCAATTGTACACATTACAATTCATACTGTTAACACCAGTCAAAGGACTATATTCCTAACTTGATGGACTCTACTTTTAGTTGCTCTGTGGGCAAATCCAGTTTAAGAAGTCAAAGCCAATTCTGTCCATCACGCTACATTCATTCCTCCATCAGTCCACCCTGCTAATGGCACTATCATTCTCACTCTCATTTCGGCATGAGATCTTGTTTTCATCTCTGACGCCCTTGTTCATCTTGTTTTCATCTCTGACGCCCTTGTTCATTTTCTCACTCCACACAAGTTTGCTAGATTCCACTCTGGGAATGTTTTTTACTCCATTTTCTGAATCCTATTGCCACCTCTCTAGTTCAGATCCTCTTTATTCCATATTTCTATTACTGGAGCTTCTTTGACACTCTCTTCCAAATTACTTCTTCTATAATTTGCTATTACATCACTGCCATTTCAATCTTCTTAAAGGGCAACAGGGATTACATCACTCCTTGTTCATAAACTTGCCCATGCCTACCAGATTATGTAGAGACTTCTTAATCTGAAATTTAAGATGAATGATAGCTATCCCCAAACCACCTCTCTGGCTATCTCATTACTGTCCTATACTCTAAGCAAAATGAAGGCAATCTCTTTCCTCAACGCATTCTTTATCTTTCTGTTCCTTGAACACTCCATTGTTTTTCCTTTTTCCATCTTTATTTTCCTTTTTCATTACATGACCTATACACTTAAAAGCTGCTTGTCCTTCAGGAAGCAGTTACAAAATACTATTTTTTCTATAAGTAACATTTGGCTTTCCTCCTTATGGAATCCACTGTATTCTATCTTGAATTTTAGTTATTATGTGCTATGTTTTTTTATTCCTGTTAGACTGAAAATAATTTGAAGGAAGAGATTGCATCTTAGTTTTTTTAACCCAGTACTTTCACTAGCTGTTCTCATTTGATATCCAATTTCACACTGTTCAATCATTTATTGAATATTCACTATGAGTCAAGGTCATACAACTAATAATAGAAGTGGGACTTCAACAGAGTTCTAGTTCCTCTGGTTTTACTAACACACAAATACAGAAAATGTAAAAAATCCCACAGATCTCAAAAATATTTGCTGAATTTAATTAACCAGCTATATTGTCATAATCATATTTTAAGTAAGACCTTATTAATGGAGTTTGAAATAATTAAAATAAATTGCCTAAGATACCCCTTTAAAATGGTAAGATGGATTTTCTTCTGTACTCCAATAGCAATTTGAATATAACAGTATTATTTATTAGAATATTTTATGAGTATTTCTTTACATTTCTGTTTTCTTCCAATTGACTGTGGATATATTTGCATCTCTAGTACTTAGCACAACACCTGGCACATGATAAGCTATCAATAATTTCAATGAACATTCAGGAAATGGAAAAGAATCTAAATAATAATATATATTAAAAGAGAATGTCCAAGAAATCAATTTAATAGAAAAGAAACTCCAGGGCCGCCTGGGTGGCTCAGCTGTTAAGCGTCTGCCTTTGGCTCGGGTCATGATCCCAGGGTCCTGCTCAGCAGGAAGCCTGCCTCTCCCTCTCCCACTCCCCCTGCTTGCGCTCTCTCTTGCTGTGTCTCTCTCTGTCAAATAAATAAAATCTTAAAAAAAAAAAAAAAAAAGAAACTCCAATTAATCACTGATTGTCTTTTCTCTTTCTTACTAGATAAAGCTTTCCCTGATGAAACTAAAGTATAAGCCTAGAAGTGATAGATTAAGCCATGGAAGTAGATATATCAGTCAAGGAAAAAGAATTCAGGGAGAAAAATACAGCAATGCATACAGTACTCCAGAGAATACCCACCTCAAAAGAGGATGATCACTGAAGTTTTCTATGTGCCCAGGTGATTTTAAATCAATATACACCAGTAGAAAATGGCATATCTGTTAAGCGTCTACTATGTGCCAGGCACTGTGCTAGAGGTTAGATAATGTACTAAATGGATAATACGCAGGCATCCAAAGCAGATGACACAGTGTGCTTTGATAATTCAGTTCATAAACTACTTGGGTAATTCAGTTATAATTTAAATTATTCAAGTTCTGTCTAGCTTGTTCATATAGGACAACATTAGAAATTTGATTTTGTTCATCAGAGTTGAAAAATGTGGCATCATGGAATATGACCATATAAATTTAATGAAATATTTAGGTTCTAATGGCACCTATTCTTAATCAAAGTTAAAATTGGGAAAAAACTATCTAAAAAAAGCTTTACCACTTTATTAAATAATTATTCAGTATCCATTCTGTGCCACACAAAGGACTAAGTGCTGGGAATATAGGGAAAAATAAGAAGTCACAATTCTTTGCAAGGTTCATGTAACCTCATGGAAGAACCCAGACATAAAAGCCATGATGACATTAAGTATTTTTTTCTTTCAAACACTTAACATGAAGTGGAATTTTTCATTTAATGCTGGTTTTAGAGGTCAAGGTCAGTATTTACGTATTCATTTTTGTTGTAGAACCAAAAAACCCTCTGTATTTTAATGAATCATATTTGCATTTCACTGACTACACTAAAAAGAAAATCAATCCCATAAACTACTATTTATTTTAGCGATTGATGAAACCCATGAAAAATCTCTCATTCATTCCTCCCCCACTTCAATAGTTTTTCTTTTCTCAGTGTGTCATGCTTCTGTCCGCAAGACAGACTGTTCTTTAAACAAGTATTTCAGCACGGATTTTGCTCCTTCTGCCTGGAATGCCTCTCAACAAATTTACAGCAAAGGTATCTACCCTCTAAAAACTATCTCATACAAGTTTTCTCAATTTCCAAACAATATGCTATCACACTAATATGTATGGTAATTACTTTTGCTGTTGTCTTTACACCTCCCCCACTTCTATGTCCCCTGAGCATAAGCTACTTGAGGGTATCCACCATTTTTCACTTATTTTGCAGGTCCTATAGGGTTTAGCATGCAGAAAGTGCTGAGTAAATATTCACTGAACTTAAACAATCCAATTAACTAATAATACTTTCACATTGTTTCTGAAAATTTAAAAAATCAAACATATTAATGGAAGAGTAAATTAATTTTATTGACTGATGAAAAACTAAAGTGATAAGAAGTATGGATAGTAAACAATAATCATTGAGTTCTGCTGGAATTCTATTTTTCTTCTTTTCACTTTAAGCCAAAAGGACATAAAATTATAGACTGTTAGTGAGCTAATCATTTTAAAGTTTCTTCAACAAAAACTGCATAGTTTAGCAGTTGCACAGCATTAAATATATACATTTTTGCAAAACCCTGAAAGTTTTAATTTTTGTGTTGACCTCAAAGGCTAATGGAATCACCTACACTGGTCGGATTCAGAGTTTCTTTTCCCTTTTCTGCCACCCTGTAAAGAAAAATAGGGCAAATTATTTAGGAAGTATCATTTTGGGGGCATTTTCATTTTAAGAATAAATGAGACCAAAGGCATTTTGAGTATGAGGAACAAGCAATTTTTTTGAGTTTGTTGTAAATTTGAATGTGCATACCACTGAATTATTTTTACAAGGTTATTTTTTTACAAATGGTTAAAGCAGGTTGTATGAAGCAGTTACTTCCACTTGAGTTAGTTTAGACTCAGTAAGATCACCAATATTTTATTTTTTAGAGCTCATTTGGACTGTCCCAGGTTTTTAAAAATATGTAATTTTTGATCAATACTAAAATAAACAATTTGCTTCATATAATCAGCAAATTTGCTAATTCAGTTCATTACCTTTTAGAGTAATTCAATTTCTAATCCAAGTTAGTCTTGTTCATATTAGACAGCATTAGAAATCTGATTTTGTTCATCAGTGGGTTGAAAAGCAGGTTATACTTTTCATATTGCTCAGTGACATATATGAATCTGTATTTAATTTGCTCCAAATGAAACTCGACCTATGAAATTTTACTTGACCCAAGGAAAGAGGTAGGAGTTTAAAAGAAGTTTTTTACATAACTTTTAACATAACATTTTCTGCCTGACTCTAATTTAAAAAGCAAATACTCGTTGTAGAAATACAGAAAGTACCAAGGTACAAAAAAGAAAATTAAAATCATCCTTAACTATTCAATCCCCCATTTTAACCATAAGTAATGGTTTGATGTATTTTCCTTACAATAATTTTATAGTTTTCTCCTCCATTTTTATAAATTATGGCAATGATACCCAAACTTAGTTGATCAATAGAATCACCTAAAGTGGTAATATTTTTCAAATTCTGATGTCTAGACTTTGTCCCGGATCTATTTATTTATAATTACCAGAAGTGGGCTGAACAACCTGTAATTCATAAAGTTCCCAAGTGATTCTTGGTCACTTTCGTGGTCAGCCAAGTTTGGGAACTAGAACTTGTCTGTGGAAGTGCATTTCTTAAACTGGTGGTTCTATCAGGGGCACATGGAATCCAGACCCATTTACTAGTGTTGGCAGCTACTCTTTGTTGCTTTCATCCTTGTTCTGCTCATAACTTCCCTCTTGGTGGTCACATACATTTCTACATCAACCTTTTTTATAAAAAAAAAATCAAGTATAAGAATGCCATTATTCATTCCTGACCAAATAAAAGTTTTGCACAGATTCATTCAGAGAAAAAAAAGTAGAAGAGAGTATATGGGACCTGAGATGTGTAATACCATGTATTAAAAACAAAATTTATTTCCTGTAGCAGGAAAATACAAATACATTTACTAAAAACTTTCCTACAAAGTAGATACCCACTATGCGTAAGTACCGGTGTTACACAGCTTAAAACTCTTACCTTGTGTTTCAACAAGATTAAAAACAAAAACAAAACAAAACAAAAAACCCCACACAAAATTCAAGAATCCTTTTTGAAGTATCCCAGGCAAAGGGAATTCTCCTTCCTAGACTGATGAGAGGTCAAACCTGGGGCTGTTAAAACTTCTATGTTCTCCAGGCCAACAGTGGTGGCTTTCCAACCTTTTCGACTATGACCCCCCACATTAACACATTTTTATATCATGACTTAGACACACATACATACATACAAATATATGTGTGTGTGTGTATATACACATATATACATATACACATATATTGAAACAAAGAACTGATTTTTTTTTTTACTGCTTCGTCCAGAAAAAAATGCTGAATGCCAGCTTGTAAATGCAGAAGAAATAATAGAATTAGAAAAAGTCACTATTTTTGCAACCACCAAAATAATAACTGATACAAATATCATCAATGGAAGCTAAAACCACTGGGTAAAAAGAAAAGGATAGTCACACAATCTCAAAGTATCACTTCACATATTTATTAATTATAAAGGGGAAAAGATATCTTTACAATGCAGATATCTAGAAGAAACTGTTGTACCCAAGTGATCAAATTTATATAATAGGACAAATGTTATTATGTACTGTCCCTCAATATGATTCACTGACACATATGCCACATCATGTACCAAGGATTTTACTTTAGTTATTGCTGTATGTACCAATATTTAGGATAACCCTAACATTTTCTAAAGTGTAAATTATACGACCAATAACAACAAAATTATTAATATGTTTGGCAAACAGATTTTGGACTGAATAAAATAGTGCTTTATTTTCACATAGTATCTATTCTAAATGTATTATTTGTGTAAGAACACTTTCAAAATTATAAAAGCATACCTGGTATTTGGCTAGTTCTGCTTGTAATACTTTCACTTTAGATCTTTCTTGTTCTAATGCGGCATGAAGTGAAGTCACCTATAACCAAACATTCAATTTAAAAAAGGCTGTCTCTTTAGGCAAATACTCTTAATTCTTAATATTTACTCACAATGATGAATTTGATTACTAGATGAACAGACATCAGAGGAGAACCACCTCCTGTCCACCAAGCACACACACAATTTCAGTTAAGCATTTTACTCAGTTATATATTAAAGATGAAGAGGAGAAGCTCACTATTCTAAGAGAAAATGCAGAGTAAGGATGAGAAGGGGAAAAGTCAAATCCATGAATAGGATAAATTCTATCTGCCCTTTTTATCTCTATATGAGTCTGCATCAGGTAAAACACAACCTTATCTTCCCTTAGTCTTCAGGACATAACTCCCTCCCTCAGCACAGTAAACAGAATCTTCATTCATTTGCTGTTACATGGTAATAGTGGAGTATAATTTGTTTCACTTTATCACAGTGTTGATGGGCTGTATTTTTGTTTAACCAAGTTTCATAATTTAGGACTAAAGAAAAATAGCTTAAGAAAATCAGTCCTGTATATTTCAGTTTTTCTTACCTGTATAGTTAGCTCATTCTTGATACTTTGTGATTCATCAACTTGCAGAAGTATTTCTGCTTTATCTTTCACTGACAAGAAAGGAAAAACAGCAGTATAATCTTTTTAATCACTCAAATACTTGAACAATACTTTAGTGAACCAAGACAGCAGTGCAGTTGGGCAAAGATTAATTGTCCTTATACTGAATGAATGTATTTCTTAGTTCTATATAGCTCTTATTTTTTCACTGGTAAATTCTGATCATTATTACTACAGCAGTTTTTCTTGGAAATTTCACATTTTCTGTGGTGTTAAAATATTAATTGTATAGATATCTTGAAAGAAAATTTTTTTCCAGCTATTCTAAAGAGGACAAGGACAGAAACAATTTCTCATAGGGATAAAACAAATATCTTGACTAATCTTAAAGCAGGATTTTAAAAGCAAGGTAGAATGTTTTTGTTTTGTTTTGTTTTGTTAAATTGTCAGGGCGAGCAGTACCGTAAGGCCCACAAAAATGATTTTGATTTGACTGTTCATACCAATAAAGCACCGTCAAGTAAATGTAGCTCATATGATAACTGATTACATACACCTGTGGTCTTTTAGAACTATTCCTTTGTCTAGAGGTTTTCCCTCTTTGGGGAAGCAAGAGATTTATCTACATTTCGGCCCCTAGGTTTCCTAAGCTTTAAAAATCTTCACATGGCTAACAACTTCTTTAACCCATAGTAATGGTTATAATACATGAAAAACTAACTCGTCGACTTTGAAGACAAAACTAGGAGAGACTGAAGAGGTAAAACTGTAATAAATTTAGTGAAGGAGGAAAAGATCAAATATATGAGTACTGTTATCACCACAGCTCTACCAATATAACACTGTAATTCAAATTTATCTGTCATAGTTTAATGCAGTGAAGTGAGACACTGCATCAAGAATCAAATCACAGTCTCTCAAGATTCAACTTGGTAACTTTTACATCCCCGCTCCCCAGAATTAGGCATAGTCACTTAGAACTAGTGATTTTTAAGAATTATGTAACATTTCAATTATAGTCAGTTTTCCAATAACATGCTTGTTTTGAAAACACGTATTTGTTTCATTGAGATTGCTGTATTATGAAACAACTTGAACATAACATGAATTTTGCATTTGCTTGAGCATAATTTCACAAATACAGAAAACAGTACCCATGCACACACCTCAAATATCAACCAGCTATTTCTGTCCACTGTTAAGAACCACACCAACTTTCCATCCTTCCACTGCTTCATAGTAACACACAATCTGCGGACCCTCTGAGGCCTATTTCCTCAAGCAAACTTAAGGCAGTCTTTCAGGTAAAGTGCCATACTTATTATAGTATTTGTGTTTAACCACTTTAACATGTGTAAAACTGTGTTACTGTTTTTATTAGGCTCCCAACTTTTTTTAAATGTGTCTCTGATGAAGTTTTTTTTTTGAGTGTTGCACCCTCCTAATCCCATTTCCCCATAAACCTTGTGGTTTTAATTGTGTGCTTTTGCAGAGATTGGTAATTTTTAAGAATATGTGTTGCGTTATAATGGAGCTGACTGTATTCACACTCACATTATAAATGCTAGCATATGTGTGCTCTAACGTACTATATTTTTTATGTAATGGTTCTATATAAAATTCTTCTACTTGGATTTTTTTAAACTTAAATTCAATTAGCCAACATGTAGTACATCACTAGTTTTTGATGTAGTGTTCAATGAGTAATTTGTTGTGTATAACCCCCAAGTGCTCATCACATTACGTGCCCTCCTTAATGCCCATCACTGTGCTACTTGTTATTTTTTTTAAAGTAATCTCTACACCCAATATGGGGCTTGAACTCATGACCCTGAGATCAAGAGTCGCACGCTTTACCAACTGAGCCAGCCTGGCATCCCTACTTGGATTTTTTTATAGTATACAGTATGGACACTGATGTTATTTACTGGTAGCCATTTTAAATGTATTTTTGAGAGAAAGTTTTTATCAGTTAACTTTCTCACTTTTCACAAATGTTTCCCTAAATAGGAATATTACTGTTTTCACATATTTAAAAATCATGCATCCAATGTCCAATGATACCCCTAATTTCTTCAATTAGAAATATAGCTTGTAAACAATTATTTTTCATAATTTTGTTCATTAAATGATCCACATGGAACTCTAACATCCACAGATCTATTAAATGATCCACATGATCCACATGGAACTCTATTACATGCACAGATCTAAATTAATCTCAGAATATTCTTTCCCCATTATTCTTTAACTTCTTCAAATAATGCCTTTCCCCATTATTCTTTAACTTCTATTTCATCATAGTTAAGCTGTATAAGTTAGATTATAAAAAATAGTAAAGTTATCAAACAGTAAGTTTGAATCTATTTCAACACCATATATTCTGTTCAACTGAACATGATTCCTGGTTTTTACTCATATGTTTTGATAACTGTTTTTTAATATAGTTTACAATTTTGATTGGACAATTCCACTCCCAGTATCTTCAATTTTTGGTATCTTGTTTATTCTGATTCAAGGTGAGTTTCACAATTTCTTGAACACTATACAGTACACACAAGAGATCTATTTGGGATATCACTGACACTTATTAATAGGGAAAACTTTATTAAATTTAATTCTGTCTATTCAGAAGATTTTCTCTTATTCAGGTCTTTCTATGTGACTTTTATGATTTATAATTTCCTTTGCATGAGCTTCATATTAAAAAAACTAACACACTTCCTTTTCTGTTATGAATGAAAAATTTTCATAGAACTTTCAAGGTAAATATCACTAGGTATACATAATCAGGAATGCTACTGATGTTGTGGAGGGGCTTCATATAACATCTACTTTACTAATGTAATTATCTCTAATCATTTTTGATTGATTTCCTTGGCTTCCTGCTGGTGAAATATTGCCAAAGTTTAGAGAGGGCCGCAAAAGTATAAAGAGTTGGGGAGGGGCGCCTGGGTGGCTCAGTTGGTTAAGTGTCCAAATCTTGGTTTTGGCTCAGGTCATGATCTCAGAGTTGTGAGATCGAGCCCCATGTTAGGTCTGTGCTCAGCACGGAATCTGCTTGTCCCTCTCCCTCTGCTCTTCCCCCTGCTCATGTGTGCACACACATTTTCTCTCTCTCTCTCGTTCTCGCTCTAAAATCAATAAATGAATTAAAAAAAAAAAAGACTTGGGGGAAGGGGAGAAGGAAAACCTAAAATGATGATAGGCATTCTCCTCTAATAATTGAAAAGAGAATCTTAAGCAAGGTCTATTCTTGGTTTCCTGCTGAATGTAGTCCAATACTTTATAAGAATTGAAATTTCAAGCTTTCTCTTACCTGAATAGTTGGAAACTTGTGTTATACTAAGGTGCTATAAGAGTAACTTGTAATAATAAAATAATCGGCAACAATTCAATCTGAATCACTCTGGGAAAATTTTTTATTTTATTGAGTTAATCATATATCTTGAAAAATTATCTTCAAATATTTTTTAAGGTTACTTTTAATTATAAAAACACACAGATCACTTACTTTCACCTTCCTGAAGCATTTTCAATAACTGTGCATTTCTTGCCTTTACTTCTTTATACTTTGCCTAATAGTCAAAGAAAAAAGATTTAATTTAAAGTAAATGGTGTAATTAATGATTTACTCTGAACTTATGGAGCTATGAATTCTAGGCTTGCTGAAAGACAGAAATTACTTTTGAAAGAAGTAGGATGGAGGAAAATGTATTCAGTACTATCTCCTCCTAAATTAATTCCATGGTACAATACTAGAAATTAATATTATAGGTGGTGGAAAATAAAGAAGAGATAAAACTGGAGAAAATTCAGGATAATACTAAATTTTCTTGAAGTTCTTTCTCTTTTTTTCCTTAAAACCCTATACAATTCAAAATAATTAGATGAAAACAAAGGAAGATAATTCACAGCTCTAGACTAAACTGTCCAGTTCTATACTAGAACTTTCTGCATGTGTTCTCTATCTGCCATTGTCCAATATGTGGCTACTAACTACTGAGAGTGCCTAGGTACACACACACAGTAGTTACAGAACTATACAGCACAGTACTATGTCTGCTCATTTAAGGCTTTATTAATCTCTCATTATTTCATTAACTATATGTTGTTAAAGTAACTTTTAGCTGATATGAATTAGTAATTCACTGGAATATCTTTCAATTCTTTTTCAATTTCTTTTTCCAAATGATTTAGCTTCTCATAATACATAGATGACACAGTTATACACTTATGAACAAGAGGAAATATGTTCCCACATTAACATCTTTATTCCAAGGAATTTTCTCCCTACAATACCTTATTTAACATATCTTAAACAGACTTAATTATTTATAAATATTTAATATATTAATACATTATAGAAAACAATACATTTAATACATTATGGAAAAACAAAAGATCAGGGAAAGAAAGCAGATCAGTATAAGAAACCTGTAATTTATTCTCTTAACATGTAGGCACAGAAGTACAGAAGTTACTGATTCAAAAATCTGTCTTGTAAAACATTTTGAATGTATTTTAAATCAAGGCAAATAGAGATGGTTTTTACTAAACACTCTATCCAGTAAATTGCTGATAATAAACCAGTAATGATATTCAGTGATATTGCAGACAATACCCTGAACAGAAGTAAACACCACAGTAAATATAAAGGAAGCAGAACTTTTGAGAAGCTTAGGTAAGTCAGATGGACACATAAAAATATGAAGGGGAAAAACATACATAGTTAGCTACAAGTATATTCACTATGAATATATATCCACTATGAATATGAAACTGTATCTAAGAAATTCTCTCCCAGGGCCTCAATCAATGTTAATATCTTGCCAAACTCTATCTCCAGCTCAAGTCTTTTGTCCAAGGTACAGATCAGTGTACAGAGACACCTCTTGCAGCAGCCTTCGGGTCTAAAGTCAGCTCATAAAGCAAGAATCACAAATAAGCAAAATCACCTATGAAAAATCTTTATGTTGTCCATAAAAATAGCATATATAGTTTTGTATATACAACCCTGAATAGGAAATTTATCTATAAAAACAAAATGTGTAACATACTAATGCCATGCAATTTATAAGAGCATAAATGAAATATACAGGACCCTTATTAGTATTTTTAATTTCATGAAAAAGAGAGAACTTAAGTTAACTACGTTAAACGATACATATATTGTGAGTTCAGCTGCATCCTGAACATCTATGCCTACATCCATAGCCATTTCAAACTTAGCATACACAAAATGGGCTTTTACTAAACACTCTATCCAGTAAATTGCTGATAATAAACCAGTAATGAATATATACAGTCCTCTCTGCCCAAACCTATTCAAAATGTGCTCTTCCTCTCACACTCCATAGCTCTTCATTGTTTTACTACACTGTCTTCACTCCAGGCCTCATGTATGTGTGTGTGTGTGTGTGTGTGTGTATATATACACACACACACATATATATATATTTTATATGCATCTTATAAATATATTTATATACATCTTATAATATATTTAGGTCGAGTTTTTCAGTAAGAATTGAAGTATATATATACTTAGCACCAATCCAGTGGTTCTAATTGCAGTTCTTTTTTTTCTGCCCATAATTTATGAAGCTTTGAGTTTATTTATTTAATTCTATTTTTTTCATCATAAGTGTACTCTTTAATCCCCATCACCTATTTCCCCCATCCTTCCACCCACCTCCCCTCTGGTAACCATCAGTTTGTTCTCTATAGTTAATAATCTGTTTCTTGGTTTGTCTCTCATTTTTCCCCTTTTGTTTTGTTTCTTAAATTCCACATATGAGTGAGATCATATGGTGTTTGTCTTTCTCTAACTGGTTTATTTCACTTAGGATTATATTCTCTAGATCCATCCATGTTGTTGCAAATGGCAAGATTTCATTCTTTTTATAGCTGAATGATATTCCATCACACACACACGCATGCACACACACACACACACGCCACAACTTCTTTATCTTTGTTGTGCCCAACAAAAGAAAAGGAAAATATAAATCACAAAGAAAAAGCTAAGGGAGATGGGTGGATGCAGTCCAAAAAAAAGGTTTTAGCTGGGATGATTCCTAAAGGCATGTGTAAAGGAGAAAGGAAAATATAAGAACCATCAGGGCTGGAACTTGATTTATCATTTTTTTCACTATTACATTATGTGGGGCCCAGAAAAGTACCTGGCACATTATAGGCACTCAATAAATAACTGTTGAGTGAATAAATATTAGTCGAAAAAGAATGACACTTGAGATGAATAAGAGATTTTTTGAAAAGCCTAAGGAATCCTTGCAAGTAAAAGAGTAACATGTAGCTCTTGGCTTAAAAAAAATTGTATAAATAACAAGTGTTGACGAGGATGTGGAGAAACTGGATCCTTTGTACATTGATCATGGGAATGTAAAATGGTGCAGGTGCTATGGAAAACAATCTGGCAGTTTCTCCAGAAGTTAAACATAGAATTACTATAGGATCCAGCAATTCCACTTTTAGGTATATACCCAAAAGAACTGAAAGTAGGGACTCAGATACTTGTACACTAATGTTCATGGCAGCATTGTTCACAATAGTGAAATGGTGGAAACAATGCAAGTGTCCATAAACAGAATAAACAAAATGTAGTATATATATATATATATATATACACAATGGACTATCATTCAGCCATAAAAAGAATGAAATTCTGATACATGCAAAAACATGGATGAAACTTGAAAACATTACGCTAAGTGAATTAAGCTAGACACACAAAGACAAATATGATTCCACTTATATGAAGTATCTAGAATAAAGCAAATTCATTGGGATTAGAGGTTATTAGAGGGCTGCAAGAAAAGGGAAATGGGAAGTTATTTAATGGGTACAGAATTTGGGATGATGAAAAAGTTCTGGAAATAGATAGTGTTGATAACTACACAACACTGTGAAGATAATTAATGCCAATAAATTATATACTTAAAAATGGTTAAAATGGCAAATTTAATGTTATATATATTTTCACATGATTAAAAATCATATTGTCATTCAGATTTTATATCATTAAATGAGTTTAAAAACATAAACAGCAGAAATATTATTCTGAATTAATCAAATATTATATATATTAACATAAAAGAAAACCAGAAAAGTGCAATTTTATAGAATTAGCAGTAAATAATTACAAACCTCCCATTGAGTGATCACATTTTTCAGCTTCTGGATTTCAGCATCTTTCCTTTCAAGTTCCAACTTTAGTCTTTCAATTCTTCCATCTTTCAGAACTACTTCCTGTGGGAGAAAAACACTATTTTAGAACTAAGATAGTTCTGGGGTGCCTGGCTGGCTCAGTCAGTAGAGCATGTGACTCTTGATCTCAGGGTTTTGAGCTCATTGAGCCTCACTTTGGGTATAGAGATTACTTAAAAATAAAATCTTAAAAAAAAAAAAAAAGGAAAGAAAAAACTAAGATAGGCTTACCGATTCTGGTTTGCAATATTCCTTTGTGAAAAGTTTAACAGGAAAAAAAATCCCGATTTTCCTGATTTCAATTCATTTTCTAAAGCAACCTTAAACTGCTGACTACATTTCTACTTCTACTCAAATATATAATTGTAATTATTACAGTGAAAGCAAATAAGATATTTATGATTAATCTCAAGCTACAAACATAACAGAATAATATCAGAGCTTTGAAATATTTCTATACTGGAATAAACATATTAAAAGTGCTCTGTTACAAGTTGTTATTAGTCTATCTTTAAAACCCAAAAGAATTTAAAACTTATGAGAAATAATAAATAGTAATGAATTTTTATAATTATTTTATAATTTATAATTATTTTATAACTATACAAAATAAATAAATAACAAAGAACAAAACCCCCAAATTAAGAACTTTTCTCTATATCAGCAATTAGCAGGTAGAAAATGTAACTAGAAAAACCATTTCCCCCAGTAGCTATAAATAAATCCCTAAAAATAAAATTCAGAAATGTTTAGGATCTATAAAGAAAATTGTAAAATATTGAAAAGGACATGGAACAAAGTATGTTTGTAGATGGGAAAAATAAATATTACTTTGTAAATTCAATAAAATTTCAACTGAAATTCCAGTCAAAACTTCATCTGGGAAACAAAAAGTTAATGCAATGAATGCAATGAATGCAATGAATGCAATGAAGAAGAATTTGCCTACCAAATAACTGTATACCACAGAGCAAAAATAACAATAGTGTGGTCAGGGCACCTGGGTTGACAGAACAGTGTACCAGAAAAGAAAGTCCAGAAAGATATTTAAGATATAAGAATTTACAGTAATATAATTATGGTATTTTAAAGAAGTGAGAAAAGGCTGAATTACAGAATAAATGTAGGTTACAGGATAAGTGGCTAACTGGGGAAAAAAATCAAGTTAAATAAATCCCTGCCATCTTGCACCACATACCCAGACAAATTTAAATGTAAAAAAATCATCCCAAAGTCAAATAAGAGTATAAATTCGTTCTATTTATCTAATGAGTGATGTGGCAACATGAACTAACTCTAAAGGTTCTCTCTGAGCACCTAACTACTAGGTGCTGCATGGACTATGGTGAAGAGAGCTGAAACGACTCTCGCTCTCATGGGACTTGTCTGGGAGAGGAGGCAGATACAAACATAAATGCTGCAATTAGAAAGCGAGGTTTAAGCTATGAAGAAAAAAGCATAATGCTATGAAGGAAATAATGTGGATTATTCCCTTGTGGATTCGGGAAGCTCTCTCTGAGGTAGTGACACTTAAGATGAACTTTGAGTGATGGGAAGGAACTGGCTAAGCAAAAAGTGGAGATAAGAGATTTCCAAGTAAAAAGAACAGTATGTTTAAAGGCCCCAAGGCAGGAAGGAGCGAGCCTAGAGAATGTGAAGGAAAAAGAGGCCAGTATGGTTGGAGTTTAGTGAGGGGGAAGATAGTATAAGACAAGAGGCGTAATCTTGGAGGGCCTTGTGAAGCAGTGAAGGAATTTGAGCAGGACTATCAGCTTTCTACTCATGTTACATTTATGCTTTTAAGGGATCACTTTGGCTGCTGTGGAAAATGCATTAGACTTCCTAAAAGAGGTGGAAAAACCCTTTAATTGCTACTGCAAGCCCACGTCAGTGAAGATCATGCCTGAGATTAGAAGCAGTTTAGATGGAGAGAAGTGTACCATATGAGAAATTATTTGGGAGCAGAATCTACAGTATTTTATTAGCAGTTGAATGTGGCAGGTGAGGATGATGAGCACTTCAAGATTCTAGTTTAAGGAATAAGGGGGGTGGATCCAGATTAGAAACATATATAATATTAGGCCCAAGAATTTCACTTCTAGGAATTTACCTTAAATGGAGTAGTGAGGTGGGGGGATATCTCCACTGCAGATCTATTACAAAAAACTAGATATCAATTTAAATGCCCAACAATAGGATATAGGCTAAATATATGGCAAATTTATAAAACTGAAAACTCTGAAATCACTAAAAATGATACAGAACCATAAAATATATTCACATGGTCTCAATCTCACTATATGCAAAGAAAAAATTCTGGAAGGACATACACTAAAAATTTACTAACTCTTAGGAGATTTATTTTTGTGAGATTATGGAAATTTCACCTTATTGTTTAAAAATTTCCTTTTATAAAAATTATTTTATACTGAGTATAGAATCATTGAATAATATAAAATACTATTCTAATTTTGAAAAAATGGAAACACTTAAGCATTAAAATAAAATCTAGATGAATAAGAATATCTATCATCTTTGAGTAGGAAAGCCCTTCCGAACATAATACCAAAGAGAGGAAACTAAAAGGAAAAGACTGATTACATTTAACTTGATGAAAAAATCTCCAAAAATACTAAAACAAAATCAAAAGATAATGAGACCCTTATGGTTTTCCTCCCTCTCTGTTTTTATCTTATTTTATTTAAACTGGAAAAAATAGTCATAACTATATGAAAGGCATATAACCAATAAACATGAGAAAGTATACAATCTTAGTATTAAACAAAGAAATGTTATATCAAACTGGTACATTTAAAATATTTTTTTCTCAGTGTGGGGTAACTGAAAGCAATTTAGTTATTAAAAAACTCAATTATTTAATGTATAAGAATTATTACTTAATAACCCCAAATGCTCACATCTTTAATTTAACTAAAAAGTGGTCCATTTAACAGTTTCTACATTATAAGAGGGGGAAAAAAAATACATATCCAAAGAAAAGTAGAACCAAAACAAACTATCAATAGTTTTCTCCAGGTGAATAAAATTAAGGTCATTTTTTCCCACTACATCTACAAACGGGGGATAATATCTACCAACTTCATAGTTAACTGTGCAAATTAAATGAAATAACCATTTTAAGTACTTAATATAGTATCTGGCAAATATATAGTAAAGCCCTCAAATATTAATTTTTGCCATTATCATTTCTCCACTTATCAGTAGTTTTCAAATTTCTTTAACAAAGATGACTTTTTGGGATGCCTGGGTGGCTCAGTCGATTAAGTGTCTGCCTTCAGTTCAGGTCACGATCCCAGGGTCGCATTGGGCTCCCTGCTCAGCGGGGAGCCTGCTTCTCCCTGTGCCTGCCACTCCCCCTACTTGTGCTCTCTCTGACAAATAAATAAAATCTTTTTTTAAAAAAAAAAAGATGACTAAAAAGGGGCACCTGGGTGGTTCAGTTGGTTAAGCATCCGACTTTGGGTTTCGGCTCAGGTCATGATCTCAGGGTCCTGGGATCGAGCCCCGGGACAGGCTCTGCGGGCAGTGGGGAGTCTGCTGGAGATTTTCTCTTTCCCTCTCCTTCTTTCCCTCCCCACCACTCACATACTCTCGCTCTCTAAAATAAATAAATCTTTAAAAAAAGACAACAAAGATCACTTTTTAAAAACAGAAAACCATAGTTTTAATGTGCATTCATTTTTATAAAGCCCTATATTTCAATTAATAAATTGAAAAAATATCTTCTAAGTAGAAAATATTATATACTAAAATGAGGATACAAGAATGTACAAGATAAAGTCCATGACCACAAAGGATTTGTAATCTGTTAAGAATGATAATAAAAACGTGCATGAAATGTGCCATGAGAAAAACAAAATGCTGTGGGGTTAAAAAAAGAAGGAAAGATCACATCCAGATCTTCTGTGTTTGGTGTTTGGGCTGGGGCAGTGAGAGAAAGCTTCAGGGAGAAGATGACAAGTGACATGAACCTTGAGCAAAGATGGGGGAGATCGAGCATTCTGTGTAGGTGTGCTTTACTCTAGCCAGGAGAAAATCTGGGAAAAAATATGGCTAAAGTTAATTAGGTTGAAACTACACAACAGAACAATGCTTTTATACTTATTTGACAGTGATCCACATTAAGGAATGTTTTAGATCATGATCCAGAATACACACGTCAGTGTATGTATATGTACTTATGTGTGTATGCTGTGTATGTGTACATATACACAGAAACAAATTTTATAAAATATGAATAGATAGATGTCATATACTCGACATTTTTCTTTTCTTTTTTTTCTATTATCTATTGTATTTTTCTACTACCTATCTATAAACCTACTAAATTGATTTCTGGACTGGTTAAATGAGGTAGAACTCTCAGTTTGAAAAGCAGAGCCTGAGGACCTTACGTATCAGGTCAAGGATATTGTACTTGATTCAATGGACATTGAGGTTTAAGGACTTGGTGTGGCATGACGGAAGTCATGCTTTTTTAAAAGTCATTTGGTAGCAGTGTATAAGGGAAATTACTCCTAGCATTAGAAGGCAGGAGGCAAAACGAGTTGTTAAAAATTACTGAAATAATACCAGTAAGAGATAATGAGGACCTAAATTAGAAAAGTGCTCGTGAAAATGGAAGAGAACAGAGATTTGAAAAATATTTCAATTAAAAACTCCCAGACCTTGAAAAACAGAAAAGTGAAAAAGGAAGTTTGGAGTCTGGACATCTGGATAAAATGACAGAACCAAAAACAGAAATCATGGAAGTCAAGCAACCTGCTTGGTTTGGAGTAAATGATGGGCATGAGTTTGGGCATAGTGAGAATAGGTATCAACAGAGCAAAAGAGCAAGATATACAAAGGCAATTAATAAAACAGAGCTGTGAAGTCCATAAGATCAGCAGTGGATGATCTACCCAATGCTGGTGAAGTTGTGGGCAATTTAGTAAGCTCATACCCTGCTTCTAGGAAGACAATGTTGATACTAAGATGTTTACATCCTTTGATTCAATTACTATCTTTTAAGAATTTTTTCAAGGAGCACCTGGGTGGCTGAGTCAGTTAAGTGTCCGACACTTGATTTTGGCTCAGATCATGATCCTGGGTCGTGGGATTGAGCTCCTTGTCAGGCTCTGCACTCAGCAAGGAGTTTGCTACACTTGTGTGTACTCTCTCTCTCTCCCCCTCCTCAAATAAATAAACAAATCTTTAAAAATATTTTATTTCAAGAAGGGGCGCCTGGCTGGCTCAGTTGGTGGAGCATGTAACTCCTGATCTCAGGGTTATGGGTTCAAGCCCTACGTTGGGTAGAGATCACTTAAAAAAATAAAATCTTAAAAAAAAAAAAGAATTTGTTTCAAGAAAATATTTCATAAAAAAATTAAACATAGGAAGATGTTCAATGAATATCAAGTGACCATTCCAAACAACCTAAATATTCAACAATAGGGCAATGAATGACCAAGTGAATTACACTATACTGATCTGACAATATAATGCATGGTTTACAAAAGGGGCTACAAAACTATATAACTTATTGTTACAATTATTTTAAAAATACTTATGCATGTCATTTTCCTAGAAAAGTGGTATTCAAAAATGAAACCACATGTAAAGAATGGGTGAATTAGGGTTGATTTATTTTTTACCTTTAAAAATTCCTGAGTATATTAATGTACAGTAAAAGAGGATTTAACCATGGCAAAAAGAAGAGCTTTCTTTCTTTGAGAAAAGAGTACAATGGAGAGAGGAAGGAGATAAAGAGAGAGAGAAGTATTTTTCTAAATGGTCTCAATCTTTTTCTTTTCCCCATTACACTCTACACTATGAGAAAATCCTAATTTTTTAATTATGAAAAATTTTGCATATGCAATAGAAATATATAATGACACACATAAGGTAAAAATAACCCAATAGGTAGATTAATAATTTGAACATTACCAAAATTTTGGCATTCCCCCATGTGCCCCTTCCCAATCATATCTCTTTCCCTTCCCACCTGAGGATATCCCATTTTATGAATTTTGTATTGTCATTCTCTTCCTTTGTTAGTCTTTTACTGCATATACATGTATCACTAAATAATACATTAAATTTATTTTTTTTGAAATATATATAAATGGCATCAAACTATTATTTGGTGACTTGCTTTTTTCATCAACATTATGTTTTTGACATCCATTCATGTTGCTATGTATACTGTAGCTCATTCGTTTCTCCTGTAGATTTTGTTATTATGAACAACTGAGTTTTGAACATTCTTTTTGAACATGTGTCCAGGGTTTAATCTAGGGTAGAATTCTAGAACATATGGTCTGCTTATCATCTTCAACTTGAAAAGTTAATACTGGTTGCTAGGGTCTGGGGAAAGGGGAACAAGGGAGAGGCTGGTAAAATGGTCCCAACTTTCAGCTATAAGATGAATAAGGTCGGAGAATCTAATGTATACCATGGTGACTATAGTTGATAATACTGCATTGCATAATTGGTGTTTTAAGAGGCTAGAACTCAAATGTTCTAAAAAAAAAAAAAAGATAAATATGTGAGATGGTAAATGTGTTAATTAACTAGATGGGAGGAAACATTTCACAATGTTTATGTATATCAAATCATCATGACATGCATTTTATTTATTTTTTATGATGTGCATTTTAAAGCTGAAAAAAATACTGTTGCATCTTTACCACAAAAATAAATAAAAAGTTAATACCAGTTTTCCAAAATGGTTATATCGATTTACACTATACTACTAGCAGTATACTATTGTTGTTCTATACCCTTAATAATATTGAGAACTGTCTAATTCCTAACACTAGTCTTCAACTTCATTCATAGGCACTGCAGTGAAATTATCATCACATAAAACTTGGTCCTCTGCTCAAAAACCTTCACAAATTCTTTACTGTCTACTGACTAAACCATAAACCAGGCCTTTAAATCCTCCACAATCTTTTCCAACCTAACTTACCAAACTTATACTATACTCCTCAAAGGTCCTTCTGTTTTAATTACGCTTGTTTATACTTCACCGCCTCCATACTTATGGCATTCTAGTTTCTCCTCCCTCACCTGTGCATATTCAAATTCTACTGTTCTTTATATTCCAATTCAAAAGCCATTTTCTCCTTAGAAAGCCATCTCTGATCTCCATTCCTGTGTGAGTACCATGGCACTTTACCAATACATCCTTTTTGGGACACGCCATTTTCTACCTTGTACAAAAATAATTATATATTGAGTACCTTGCACAACATACTCTGATAAAAATTTTAAATCTTAACTGCTAATTAATTGCAACTCCTAATAACAGTACATAAGAGGCAGGTAATTTCATCCCAATGTAGCTTATCAGCTTACATAAGCTGTATTTTGTGTTATTAGGTTTGGTTGACTTCAAAGACACTTGTTCTATACTGCACTGTTGCTTTGGTCTTACTAGATCATTAACATTACTTAATCATTTAACTGAACTTTTATATGCCAAAATTTGTTCTACGAAGGGTTTGAGACACCTATTTACTAAAATACACGAATATAATTCTTTCTATCCAAAAATGATCTGAGATGGCTTAAAAAAAAAAAAGATATGGACCACAAAGGGGAGAATTATAGTCAACGAGAGAAGAGGAAGCACATATGTTAACCATAAATGTTAACATGGTCGCATGGACTATACAAAAAGTTAAGGCAAGACTTGAAAACATTAAATTTAATTCAATGTTAGAAAGGAAGAAGCTCACAAGTACTTTTTGTACAGGCAAGGATTTCCTGCCACTAAGTTGAAAATAGATTTCCATGTGGAATTATGTTAGTGTTATTTATAAACCCATCATACTGCTGCATTAGAATAAAAATGGTCTGACTTCTTTTGTGTCCTATATAACACAACATAGTAGGTGTTTAATTTGTTGAGTGACTGAATTTACCAATCTTAATGAAACAAAGAGGTAATATCCACAGAAGAATAAAAGGATGGGAAACGGGCTTTTAGATTTTGGAACAGCCACTGTAGGAATCTGTCAAAGTCAAATTGCACTGAATTGCTGAATCGTTACACTGTATACCTGAAACTAATGTAACACTGTATGTTTATTATAGTTTAATTAAAAAAAAAAAGGAGAGAGAGAGATGAACCAAAGGACTGTTATGTAGAAATGAAGATCTGGCAAAAGTTACATTGCACTGATTTTCAGAACAGAACATTAGCATTGCCTTAAAATATGTATATATTTTCCAGCAACACCTGGCAGCCCAGGAATTAAATCAGAATAGAGAAAGTAGGCAATACTGTGAAAGTCAGTGCTGTGCACCTACAAGGGAAGAAGAGAAAATCAAGGAGGTAAAGGGAAAGCATTTGTGGGAACACTACTGAAATTACTTACTACAAATTTCAGGCGGAGAACAATTATTGATGGGTTAGAGGTCAATATAAGGTAAAGACCAGGTGAAAGTTTAAGAATAAGTTAGACCAAAAAAAAAAAAAGAAAGAAAGGAGTAAATAAAACAGAAGACTAGCAGCTGTGGTGAGAAAAATAAATGCAGACTTACAGGTCTCTATATGATGAGATCTTTTCTTTCTTTTTTATTTTTTGAGTAATATGTGTGAATACCATTCTTAGCTTGTGGGCAATAGTTTGCAACCCCTGGTCTACAGGTTAAAATTCCAACTTCTTGGTTCCTCTTAAAAAGACCTTCATAATCTAAACCCAAGCTATTTCCCTGGCCCTGTTACCCCAGCCTCACACACTCTGTGCATCTCAGTGCAAAACGTTCTATTTCCTGAATATTCAGTCTAAGGCTTGTGCAGCTCTGGGCCTCTGCTCTTACACTTCCCATAGGGCCCCTCCATTTCTCTGCTTACGGTTTATTCATCATTCAACATCCATCCCAAATGTCAATTCCTCAGACACCTTTCACAATTCACCCACGGAGGGAGCTAGCACCTTCTCTATTCAAAACCTCATTTGTATTGTTCATCTCTCTCAAGCCTTCGTCATGCTGAATGATATTCTATAGGTCTGCCTCCTCTTATCCCCACTGCTCTGAGTACCAAAGTGAAGGACAGTCTCACCCATCTCGGTATTCCCACTCCCCTATACTGGTGACTAACAGTACCTAGCACACAGCACACACTCAATAAATATTCAATGAATGGAGTACCTCATACTTGCTAATATAAGTATCTATGCGTGATAATGACTAAGATATCCTAAAACTGTAGTGTCATATCATAATTGGATTCCACTGTTTAAGTTTTTTTAAAAAAGGAAAACTGCATTTTAATTTCACTGTGATTTTAAGAGAATTTTCTATTTTACATGCCTGGTTGTGTTCATGAGCTGCGCAATTATCTGTTCCATTATATTCTGTAAGCTGTTCTCTTCTTTTTTCTCTAATAAGAATTTTATGAACATCATCTTCCAGTCTATTGAAGAATCCTCCATCATGTGATAAAATCTGAGAACTCAATTCCTGTCAAAAATGAATTACGATTTACTATCATTCAACACAAAAGTGTATGCATTTAATAAACCTAGTCAGCCACCAGAAGGCTGGAGAATGAAAGAAAAATGGTAACTAAGAGACAATCAACCATGTGATTCTTCTGTATCTCCAGAAGATAAACAGTAGAGACACATTCTTAGAAGTCCTTTTCTTGATTTTTTTTTTTTTTTTGAGTTGGGTACTGCTTGATTTAAAAAAAAAAATTTATCCATATACCATATAAGTCACCCATTTAATATGCACATTTCCATGGTTTTTAATATATACAGAGTTGTGCAACCATACTACAATCAATTTAATAAGTTTCATCACCCCCAAAACAAACCCTGCACTTTTAGCAGTCATTCTCCATTTCTTCCTAATACCTCCCCTCTCAGTTTCCCCTGCACAACACTAATCTACATTCTGTCTGTATAGATCTGCCTTTTCTGGATATCTGATATAAATGAAGTCATATAATATGTGGTCTTTTGTGACTGGCTTCTTTCACTTAGCACAATGCTTTCAAAGTTCACCTATATTATAGCATGTATCAGTACTTCATTTCTGATTACCAAATAGTATCTCACTGATGGATACATGATATTTTATTTCTCCGTTCATTGGTTGATGGACATTTGGGTGGTTTCTACTTTTGGGCTATTATGAATAATGCTACTATAAACATTCAAGAACAAGTTTTTGTGTGGCTATGTTTTCAATTCTCTTGGGTATATATCTATAAGTAGAACTGCTGGAACATATGATAACTCTATGTTTAATTTTTTGAGGAATTGCCAGATAGTTTTCCAAAGTGGCTGCACCGCTTTACAATCCCATCAGTAGCATATGAGGGTTCTAATTTCTTCACATTCTCACCAACACTTCCCATTATCTGTCTTTATTCATCATAGCCACCTAAGTGAGTGTGAAGTGGTATCTCACTACGGCTTTCAGCTGCATTTCCCTCATGGTTAATGGTGCTAAGCATCTTTTCATGTGCTTATTGGATATTTTTTTATCTTTTTGGAAAAATGTCTACTGAGATCCTTGGCCCACTTTTTAACTGGATTGTTTTTTACTTTTGAGTTGTAAGAATTCTTTATATATTCTAGATATAAGTCTCTTATCAAATATATGATTTAGAAACATTTTCTCCCATTCTGCGGGTTGTCCTTTCATGTTTTTTTTTTAAGATTTTATCTATTTATTTGAGAGAGAAAGCACGTGTGAGCATGAGTGGGGGAGGGGCGGGGGAAGGGACAAACAGACTCCCTGTTGAGCAGGAAGCCTGATGTGGGGCTTGATCCCAGGACTCTGGGATCACGACCCGAGCCAAAGGCAGACGCTTAACCAACTGAGTCACCCAGGTGCTCTGTCCTTTCACATTGTTGATAGTGTTCTTTGTATTACAAAATTTCTGAATTTTGACAATGTTCAATTTATGCAAGAAACCACTACCTAACTCAAAGTTGTGAAAATTTACTCCTATAATTGCTTCTAAGAGCTTTACCATTTTAGCTCTTACATGTATGTCTATAATCCATTTTGAGTAATTTTTTTGTGTATGGGGTGAACCAGGGGTCCAAACTCATTCTTCTGCATGTGGATATCCAGCATTATTTGTTGAGAAGATTATTCCTTCCCCACCAAATTGTCTTGGCATTGTTGTACAAAATCAATTGACCATAAATTTAAGAGTTTCTTTCTGGATTCAATTCTGTTCTGTCAACCTGTATGTCTACCCTTATGCCATACCACACTGCCTTGATTACCGTAGCTCTGTATTACTCCATCTTGTACATTACATTGAAAAAATATATATATATTTTCTAAAGATTTTATTTATTTATTTGACAGAGAGAGAAATAGCGACAGCAGGAACACAAGCAGGGGGAGTCGGGGAGGGAGAAGCAGGCTTCCGGCTGAGCAGGGAGCCCGATGTGGGGCTCGATCCCAGGACCCTGGGATCATGACCTGAGCCGAAGGCAGACGCTTAACGACTGAGCCACCCAGGTGCCCCCGAAAAAATATTTTTTACATAAATTCTACATATCCATGATAAAGAGACAAGATTTTATCACAATCTACTCAATTACATTAAATTAGAAATTTTACATGTTCTCCAATTAAAGCAGCATTTCTTCTCCAACTTCTTGTAATAAAGACAGAGACTGAAGGGGCGCCTGGGTGGTGCAGTCAGTTAAGTGTCTGAGTCTTGGTTTCAGCTCAGGTCATGATCTCAGGTTTGTGAGACTGAACCCTGTGTCGGGCTCCGTGCTCAGTACAGAGTCTGCTTGAGATTCTCTCTCCCTCTCCCGCTCCTCCCATTCTCTCTCTCAAATAAATCTTTAAAAAAAAAAGAGAGACTGAAGAAAATATTCCTCTCACTCTCATTAGTTTCATATATGTCCAACATTCTTGAGCTATAACGCTCAAACTTTACCCATTTTAATCATATTTGTAAGCAAATGACCCAAAAGTTCAAGTTCCTTTCCCTGCTATCACTGCTTAATAAACAAACGACACTAAAAATATTTGTGCAGCACATTGCGTATTGCAAAGCTCTCATGTAAAGCATCACTTTGACTCTCATTAACATCATAAGAGGCTGATAGAGCAAGAATTATTTTGCCATAAAGTAATCAAGGCCTCACTAAAGTTAAGGAACTTGCCCATGAGTTATTCTATTGCTAAGTGCTACACATACAACTCTAAGTCTACTGCTTCATTAAATATGTCCAATATATTCTGGTAAGATTTCACTTTAAATAATAAATACAACAATGCTTAAATCAGTGCTAAGATTCTATGGAAGGAATAACACGATGGCAACTAACTGGCCTCTGGATTTCACTTCTCTAAAGAGTGCAGTTCCAGCCAGTGTCCTCAGTTTTCCTATGGGTACTACCATTACCAGCATGCCTATCCCAAAAGTACTCTGCCCTTGAGTATTTTTCAGTGAGGCAGAAAATTTTTTTATAGAGTAAGAACAGAATTTTTCAAAAGACAGTTTGATAAGAAACTAGGAAGAAAAGAAGCAAAAATAAATCACCCACAACGCCCCCCTACCAAACCCCCCAAAAAGACAAAAAAGGGGCAAATGGAAGAACACATATTCTTTAATAAGTTGAGCCAATTCAGTTTCGATACAACTCAAATACTGAACACCTATTATGTGCCAAGCATATAATGAGAGAGACAGTATGGGTGTTTGTATAAGTACAGCCTTATAGATCACTGGAACATAATTGAGAGTTTAGACATAAGCTTTCACATTTATGGTCAGTTTTTTTTTTTTTCCCCAAAGATTGTATTTATTTATTTGAGAAAGAAAGAGCATGGGCAGGGAGGAGGGGCAGAGGGAGAGGGAGAAGCAGGCTCCCCACTGAATGGGGAGCCCAACATGGGGCTCAATCCCAGGACCCTGGGTCCGTGACCTGAGCCAAAGGCAGGCGCTTAACCGACTAAGCCACCCAGGCGCCCCTGGTCAGTTTACTTTTTACAAAGGAATAAGGTACTTCATTAAGGAAACAAGAGTGTTTTCAACAAGTGGTGCTGGGACAACCGGATACACACATTCCAAAAAGTGAATTTGGCCCCTTTTTTCACACCATACACAAAAATTAACTCAAAAATGAATCAAAGAGAGGATCCTGAGAAGAGAAAGAGGCACCAGGAATCTGTCTCCTCCTCTAGACAACTGTACTGGCAGAATCTATCTGATGTAACTGTTTTAGAACTCTGGACTCTGTTGAAGGCTTGCAACTTCCAGGGCAAGATGTGGATGGTAAACTGAGGTTCATTTCGGTTAATTTTAGCTTTTAGCACAGTAGCAGCTACTGATCCCCCAACCTCAGCCACGAGGCAGGCAGCTATGTGAATGTTTGTGGAGCAGCCTGCACAGTTTATGGGAATTAGGGTGGGCAAAAAGGACCCTGTCCTCCAAATAATGGGCATCTGCTCTGGTAACTGATTGCGCTCTGGTCACAGAAGTGCAGCCAAAGAGACAAAGGGGCAGGCAACCATTGTAGTTGTACCTCCTCAAATTGTTGTAAGCCCCTCTCCCTCCAGCTGAAGTGACTTCCACTGGATTTAAAGGGCTACTGCCCTTTTTTCCTCCCTTCATTTTTTACTTTTTCACTTTTGGGAGCCAGACATTAAAAACCGGACATTCAAAAATAAATGCCTATAAGGGGAAAATTAGACAGTGACTGTGCATGCCCAAGGAAAAAGGCTCAGAAAACACCTAAGAAATTAAGTTTACACTTCATGTTCATACTTGGAACAGAGACAGCCTACAACAATAAAAAAAACAAAAATAACAAAAGATACCACTCCCCAAGGAAGGAGGAGACTTTGATCCCCAGAGTTACCACATTATTAGATTCAAATATCTAGCATTTGACAAAAAATCACAATGTATTCAAAGAAACAGGAAGTATAGGCCATTGAGAGGCAAAAAATATATCAATATAAACTGTCCCTGAAAAAGACTTATAGCAGTTATGTGAGACAAAGACTTTAAAACAACTGTCATAAAGATGCTCAAAGAACTAAAGGAAGTTGTGGAGAAAATCAGGAAAACAATGTGTGAACAAAATGGAAATATCAAGAGACAGAAAACCTAAAAAGATAACAACAACAACAAAAAATCCTGGAGCTGAGGGTGCCTGGGTGGCTCAGTTGGTTAAGCGACTGCCTTCGGCTCAGGTCATGATCCCAGGGTCCTGGGATCGAGTCCCGCATCAGGCTCCCTGCTCTGCGGGGAGCCTGCTTCTCCCTCTCCCACTCCCCCTGCTTGTGTTCCCTCTCTCGCTGTGTCTCTCTCTGTCAAATAAATAAATAAAATCTTTAAAAAAAAAAAAAAATCCTGGAGCTGAAAAGTACAGTTAAAATGACAAATTAAAGGCAGAGTTGAGCAAGCAGGAGAAAGAATCAGAGAACTTAAAGACAGGACAATGGAAATTATGTAGATAAAAAATAGA